CATCTCATTGGCATTTCCAGATATTACTATTTAACACAGAGTTATGGCTCTGTTATTGCCCTGAATATTTATCAAGTTCAAAGAATGTTACTGTTTATGCCATGATAAATATATAAATAAAGCCTTATGTCTTCAGTTGTTATGTTAGTAATAACCAGTACTTGGCGGGGGGGGATATAAATTCAACGAATTTGCTTGTTAACCCTGGAGGCGTGCTGCTTTAAAGGGTTAATTGAGGTGGAAGCCTTTAGCTCCCCCTCTTTGAAAGTTTTTTTGCCATGGTCGTCAAAAATGAAAAAAAAACTACAAACCTTTCATAAATTAGCTTAAATGGCAACCACACAAATAAAATAGTTATTCAGTACATGATATTTAAGTGGAACCCAGTAGAAGCAGCAGACGGAACTTCGTTTCACAGTCAATTATTCTAGGTTTCTGTTTTTAATTTAATCAAGTTGTTTTATCTCTGATGCTGTATTTTGAAAAGATTTTTTGTTGTTTATTCAGATTAAGATATTTAGAAGATTAAGTTTGGGGAACAGAAAATGTCTTGAAAAAAAATCATGAGGTCATTAGATCACAATCATCAATGTCTGACTTTCATATTACATGCAGTACATAAGTTTTTATCATATAAATGTAAAAGGTTACCATTAGGTTTTTAATTTGAAAATCCTGGTTATTTTGATTGGCAAAGAGGGATGTTGAGGTGGTCGAGCATTCAGACAGGCATCAAACGGGTGGTTTTAAGTCGATAACTACAAGTTAGGAGTGAGATATTGTAATCAAACTTGGTACATTGTATGTACATGTACTCATGTAGCAAGCTTATGTGAAGAGGACACTTAGGATTACTAAAGGACTTTGGCTCCCTAGGATCAAGGTCAAAGTCACTGTTACTATAAATAGAAAAATGGTTCCCGGTTTTAAAAACTGGTTTAATGGCATTACCATGTTTCCTAATTTACTTAAAAAAGCTTTTGATTTGAGTTTTACATTTTAGGTTGTTAAGTGGAATCAATTTATATATGTTATACATTTATGTATATAACATATTTTCAGACCATGTTTTATTTTTAGCTCGACTTTTCTATGAAAAGGGGAGCTATCCTACTCGCCCCGGCGTCGGCGTCGGCGTTGGCGTCACACCTTGGTTAAGTTTTTCGTACCACCCCACTTTATTTCAGAAGTATTACAAGTATGGCTTTGAAACTTACCATACTTGTTCACCATCATAACCTCCATCTACAGACAAGAGTACATAACTCTGTCAAGGTTTTTGACAGAATTATGGCCCTTTTTTGACTTAGAAAGTGTATTGAGCTTGGTTAAGTTTTTTGTACCACCTCACTTTATTTCAAAACCATTGGAGGTATTGCTTTGAAACTGACCATACTTGTTTACCATCACGACCTTCATCAACAGACAAGAGGACATAACTCTGTCAAGGTTTTTGACAGAATTATGCCCCTTTTTGACTTAGAAAATACATTGAATATGGGTAAAATCCACTTATTGCCTTAACCCTTTGAGATATTGCTTTGAAACTTTTAATGCTATTTCACATCATTACCCCCATCTGTACGCAAGAGAAGGTAACTCTGTCAAGGATTTGTTTTAAAAATTAAGGCCTTTTATCGACTTAGAATCTTGGTTAAGTTTTTAGTACCAGTCCACTTTTTGACTGAACTGTTTGAGATATTAATTTGAAAGTTGGAATACTTGTTTACAATCATGATTCCCAAACATGTCCAGGAGAAGGTAATTCTGTCAAATCTATATATTATGCTGATTGTACAAAAATATACTGCTTCCTTGGCATAGATTTCTTGAAAAATTATGTTATTATGTCATTTACCAAGGTGTTCTGAGTGACGTAAAAATACCTTATTCTCTCAAAGTGGGTTTAATACTATTAAATTTATTTAAGGCTCAACTCAGTTTTTTTTTCTTTCTTACCAGCCCTCTTTTGACTTAAACATTTCAAACTTTGCTGCAGTGTTCAAGGGTATCACACAATTCAGTAAAATAATTCTTCACTAAATATCTTAATGCTCATGGCCATTGTTCACTTTAAAAATACAGAGATTCTTGTATTGCCTTTTACTGCAAAAACTTTTTTTATTGGCAAGCAATAAAAAAGTCGAGCGCGCTGTCTTACGGACAGCTCTTGTTGTCAATTGTAAAGGCTGCAATTTGTTTTTAAGCTTTTAAATTAATTAAAGCTGTGAATGTTGAAAGTTAAAATGTTAAAATGATTTTATTTTACAGATTTTTTAAGTCATTACTTGTTGGTAACAAAAACTGTGTACATTGTACTTAATATATTCAAGTGCTTTATGAAGAGGCATAATTATGTGGTAAAAAAAACATGACTCATAGGGACTTCAAGAAATGTTTTTTTTTAACAGTACAAGATTCGTTATAAGCTAACTTCCTGTAGAAACCAGGTAAAACATTGAATCAAAGGTGTGAAATGTTGTTTCATAATGTAGTAAAAAAGTTGTCGACAGAAATTTCACAAATATCCTGTTACATGGTTATTGTAAAACATATGTTGTTGTCCAAGTTACAAAGTCACTACAACAGATATGTATGTAACCACACTAAGGGAAAGCGAGGCATTTGCCTTGGTTAAAATTTGAGAAGTTAATTAATTAGTAGGTCGAAAAATAAGTAATAGAAAAGACACAAGCCTTGGCCTATTCATAAATTAAATGAAATGTATTTCAATTTTTTTTTCAAAAAACATAAAAATTTTCTTGTTTGTTTTCCAAAATATAAATGTAAGATTTACTAAAATGGTATAAATATGATTAGATTCAGAATGACAAAAAGCTTGTCGTAGAGTGCTAAAAGCCCACCACAGATGTTCTAGGTAAAAAAAAAAAACACCCTAATTTGCCTTGGTCAAAAAACAGGTCTGGCTTCACCATTGAACTGAAAATAATCCATCTTAAAATAAACTACTACTCTTGAAGTGATGTTCTGTTATTTCATGTATATACTAGGCAATATGTCCGTCCTGTATACAGAAGCAACACAAGACAAAAAATTATCTCAGAATCTTACATTGTCAAAATATTTTGACTGTAAACTGCTGAGTTTCAGATAAAAATCTTTTGTATCTTTATAAATCTTGTATATTTTTCTCTTTTCCTCTGTTTTTTTTTGTTGTTGCTATTTTGTATTAAGTAAGCAACATCTTTATATTTAATCTTAGTTATAAAATATGCCTAAGAAAAATTAAATTGTACATGATTGAATACGAAACCGACATAACTCCAAAAAATTGTAATGAGCAATTAAGTTACAACACTTTTATAATATGCAGTTAAAACCTAGATTTCTGTACATTGGTATATTTTCTCTTCTTTTTGGGTTGATCCAGTCAAACCTGTGTGAAAGACAACCTGTGAATTAAGATCACCTTCAAATAAAGACCACTCTTCAACAAACTTTCATTGATTGATGATAAAATAAAACACAGTAGGCTCAAAATAAATTAAACATAGTATTAATGTAAAGCTCAAAATAAAGACCTCTTTATTAATAAAGGCCATTTTCAGTCTCTATTTTGTGTTTTGGATGGCCTTTGTTTACAGGTTTGCCTGTACAAGAAAAAACAAACAACATTTTGCTTTCTATCCAGTTATGCTTTTAAACATTTTAGAGAAATAAACATCTCTGAATTAAAAGGCATGCTTTTACTGTTTTAAAGGAAATTAAAATTTGTAATAAATGCAAATTTTATCATTTGCGACTGATTCACTTTTAGTGAATACATTATGCACAAATTAGAGAGAAACTTTGTTCTTTTTAGTGGGAGGAAAATCCTGTTATTTATCTGCCTCCTTAAACTTTCTGCAACAATTATTTCTACCCATGCGACCAGTGCAGACCAAGATCTGTTCGCATCCATGTCATCTGATCATTGTCTTTCAAGAAAAATAATAAATAGTGTATCCTGTTCGAAAGATTGTCAAGTCCATTTAAGATGTTATTAGCCTTGTAAAGTTAGTTAGCAATTATTTTAGATATATATTAGTAAATAAGTACATGTAAGTAAATAACTGTTTAATGGGGCTTACACAAATGATTTCCCAGTCTCCCATGTTGGACTAAGATAATTAGGTTAAGCCCTTCGAATTATGACAATTGTAATCTTTATTCTAAGGTATTTATGAATAGATAGATTTTTGAAGCGGAAGAGATTAATAATATCTGTCATATGTTGTGGTTTGTTACTGCCCAATGAACGGGTCCCCTCGGGATGGATTTTTCAGTCCAAACCAAAACATATGACAGATAAATCTCTTCCATTCCACTTAAGGGCAGGTTCCTGAAGAACGGGTAATATTTATCCAGCATCTGTAATGGTTTTTTCTCATTGAAATTATTGTCAGATTAACTCCAAGTTTGCTTTGTAGCATCTCCATTGTGACCATGTACCCCTAGGTTTCCCTTTTTTAGTATCTGGCATGCCTCCAGATTCATGCTAATTTTCATGAAATATATAAGAATGTATTTAATAGTAAAATATTGTGAAGTGAACGAAGAAAATAATTTACACATTGCAAACAGCATTTGAAATTCATGTAATTATAAATGAACAGATGCCAAAATAAACAAAACTAGACCTTACAGTGTTATTAACGCAGTAGAAATATATGGTTATAAATACAGAAAATCAGTCCTTAATCGCCCATGACATGTGAATTTTAACTACTTGAATCTTAAATCTTTTTACTATTATTAAAATCTTAGTACATTTTCCCAAAGTTTAAATTTCTTGAAATATTTTGACTCATCTGGATGCATGCAGCTTTAAGTGTCACAAGAGCTAAAGATAGGCAAACATTTAAAACCTTTTTGGATGGATCATCATTAAACTTGGACTCTATTATAAATTTTTAAAGAAATGAAGATGTTAAATAAAAAAAATGGAAACAGAGCTTTATTTACGAATTTACAGGTTTTTATTATTTATATATTTATAGGTAAACTGGTTTGAACAACAAACATTATTGACCAGAAAAAAGAGAGACTTTCTTCCGATCAAGGTTGACACTTCCGAACTTTTGAAATCCAATCATGTACATAGAAACCGACGTGAAGTGAACCGGCAGGACGTAACATTTAATGATGAGTTGTACAGCAAAATGTGGTACTTTGTAAGTATCTTTTATTGACAAATACTGTAATACCTGGCATAACATACTTTTGTTAGGGCACCCCCCTCCCCCCCTGTTTACAGTTATTGTGGTGGCATGGCCGAGTGGTTAAAGCGTCGGACTAGTAATCTAATGATTGCTGGCCACGTCAGGGACAAGGCGTTGTTTCAGTGAGCAAGAAACTTCACCCTCATTGCTTAGTAATGGTTGGTTCCAGGAACAGATTTTGGAGTGTTTCAATAAGCTTTCAACACAATTGAACTAAAATAAATTCATATAAACTTATGCTCCCACTTAAAGGGGTGGGGGCATAAAAATTTCCCGTTATCTGTTAATTCATCACATTGTCTTTCCTTAGACTGACACAACAGTGGAGCAGGGTGGAATCCATGTCTAACAGACTAATTTAAAGTTTCATTTTTTTGTAAGATTTTGATAAATGGGGCAATTCCCAAAACTCAAAAGAGTGTCTTTTTCCAGATTTTATATGCTATAGTTCTGGTTAATTTTGTGTTAGTAATGAACTCAGGACTTCAGGCATGTCACATCTGTCCAATTTTGAAATATTATTAAAAAAATATCTGTGGATTTCATCCTATTTATGTTATTGACTAAACAGTTGATAATTACTGACAGCAGAAAGAAAATTGGGGAGACAAATAATGGGGATAAAAAGCCGATATAATTGAAACCGTCAGTTATTTAGTTTCTTGATGAAATGTCAATAAACAGCTAGATTTTCTCTCATTTTCTGATAATACCATTTAAATTTGTTTTTTTTCCTGGAGGTGTTTTGTCCATATGAGAAATGAAATGTCACGGAGTGAGAACAATGTGCTTCCTGACACGGAATCGAAGTTCAGGGACCCTCACTGCCCATTTTGCAGATGCCTGGCCACTTACACAATTTCTCCCCCAATTTGAATAATTAGTTTTCAGAACTGAGGCATAAATTTACCAAAAATCTTGTATGAGGGTGTAAGCTTGTAAGGTAAAGATTTTTTTTATTTTATCAATTTTGCGTTTATTACTTACTAATCAGATCACATGACTCTGGTTTGTTTATAGAATGGAGGCGGGTTGAACCACACAGATATGAATGTAAAAGGGGCGTGGGCTAAAGGCGTCACTGGAAAGGATGTTGTCATAACAATTTTAGACGATGGTTTGGAGAGAACACACGATGACCTCAAAGATAACTATGTAAGTTGATTTACCTTTACACTATATAATGGACTTACCCTGCTTTTGATTTTGGAATGTTCCATTGTCAATGTAAGGGATGTTTTTAGCTCACCTGTCACAAAGTGACAGGGTGAGCTTTTGTGATCACTTTTCGTCCGGCCGTTGTCCGTCCGTCCGTAAACTTTTACTTTAAATGACATCTGCTCATAAACCACTAAGCCAATTTCATCCAAACTTCACAGGAATGTTCCTTTGGTGGTCACCTTTAAAATTTTTACAAAGAATTTAATTCCATGCAGAACTCTGGTTGCCAATTGGCAACCAAAAGAAAAAACTTAAAATATCTTCTTTTAAAAAAACCAAAGAGCTAGAGCTTAGATATTTGGCATGAAACATCTTCTAGTGAGTGTCTACCAAGTTTGTTCAAATAAAAGCCCAGGGGTCAAAATTGGCCCCGCCCTAGGGGGTCATTGATTTTCCCTATATGCATATAGTAAAAAATTAAAAAATCTTCTTTTAAAGAACCCAAAGAGCTAGAGCTAAGATATTTAGCATGAAACATCTTCTAAAGAGTGTCTACCAAGTTTGTTCAAATAAAAGCCCTGGGGTCAAAATTGGCCCGCCCCAGGGGGTCATTGATTTTCCATATATGCATAATTATAGTAAAAACTTAAAAAATCTTCTTTTAAAGAACTCAAAGAGCTAGAGCTAAGATATTTAGCATGAAACATGTTCTAATGGGTGACTACCAAGTTTGTTCAAATAAAAGCCCTGGGGTCAAAATTGGGGTCGATGATTTTCCCTATATGAATATAGTAAAAACTTAAAAATCTTCTTTTAAGGACCCAAAGAGCTAGAGTTAAGATATTTAGCATGAAACAAGTTCTAATGGATGTCTACCAAATTTGTTCAAATAAGAGCCCTGGGGTCAAAATTGGCCGAATAGCTAGAGTTTAGATATTAAGCATGAAACATCTTCTAGTAAGTGTCTACAAAGATTGTTCAAATAAAAGCCCTGGGGTCAAAACTGGCCCTGCCCCAGGGGTGTCATTGTTTTTAACTATATGTGTACAGTAAAAACTTAAAAAATCTCCTTTTAAAAAACCCAAAGAGCTAGAGCTTAGATGTTTAGCATGAAACATCTTCTTATGGGTGTCTACCAAGTTTGTTCAAATAAAAGCCCTTGGGTTAAAATTGGCCCTGCGGGGGGTGGGGGGGGGGGGGGAGAAAGGAAAGGGGGGCGAGATCATTGTTTTTCATTATATGTGTGTAGTAAAAACTTAACATCATGAAACATCTTCTAATTGGTGTCTTCCAAGTTTGTTCAAATAAAAGCTCTGGGGTTTAAACTGGCCCCGCTCCGGGGGACCTATATACAGGTGAGCGACCTCAGGGCCATCATGGCCCTCTTGTTTTAGTGTGTGTGTGTATTTGAGTTTACTTACACTCGCCACTGGTTCCCCATATGGGCAAGTCCTCCAGAAGAGTATATTTAGTCATTTTAGGTTTTTGGAGGAAAGAGCAAGAGCAGATACAGAAAGATGCCCCAATTCCAGAAGCTTCTCATTGTTTTTTTTGAAAATTTGTTACCTCATCTAGAGGCATGAGGATTTTTGTAATAATTGTAAACAAATTAAAGTGGAGATAAAGTGCTCCACCTATGACAAGTATGTACTTTTATATAAAATAAGACTGTATTTAAAATATTGAAGTACAAAAGTCTATTAAAAAAAAAACCCATAAAATTTCAAATTACATTTACCAAACAGGGCACTTTAAGTGCAATGATAATATGCCAAAGATAGTAAAGGAATATAATCGGAATTAAGTTGAAGTTTTTTGTGTGTGTTTCCTAGTAAATGGTTAAATGCTTTTTACACAATAAATAGAGGATATTGAATGAGTGTAAGTTTATAAATGAATTTATTAAAAAAAGTTGAATAAAGTTATATTCTATTCTATTGATATCACATATCCAAAATAAAGAGTGTTTAAAGCGAAAAAGAATAATTTTTCAATGACGCCCCTATAGTGTAACGCTATCATTTACCGCGTCTTTACACTATGTCTGTATAACGCAAATGACGTCACATCAAAATGTATGCACGGCTGTGAATACCGTTTTTACGGAGTCGCAAAAGCGGCACTGGTATGTGATAAAGATGATTAATGTGACAACAACTGAGGGAGTAAATGATTGAAATTTTTGCACACAAGTTTTCGGTCCAGCCCTTCATCAAAAAGGTACACACATCCAGAAAAAAAAAATTCAGTCCTTTCATGTCAAAACATCTCATCGGAGTCCCTTTAAGTTGTCAGTTTGTTTTTGTATCACTATGAAAATAACAGTTAAGTTAAATGGAGATGTTAAATTTTGATGTACACCCTGACACCCCAGATAAGTTTATTTGACAACAGGAATATTTCATCAAAAGGATGCACAGAGACTTTTTTCAATTTTCCACTTTCATTCAAATTTCACTGAAGTTTTGAAACATAATATAACTCTCATTTTCAAAGATTGTTTATTCTCCAAAGACGAAGTTTGTTTTGACTACAAAGTGAAAAGAAATGATTTTGTTACTACTATTTATTTATCCCTTTTAGTGTTAAATTTGTATGAAAGACTTGATTAATGTCCTGCTTTGAATATTAATGTAAGCATTTTACAATTTTAAGGGCATTGCATTGGTCTACCTGTTAAGGTGTCTGCCTCTCAACACAGGCATTGTGGATATGAGCCCTACAGGTGGGGGCTGGGGGTGATCATAAAAATGTTTCTTCATATGACACAAACACTAGAGGGCTCTATGAAGCTGATTCAAGGGTCACAGGTTCAAAAAAACTATAAGTTTTCTTCATTATCAAGATTAATTTACACTTTTACAGTGTTTTTAGGGTCCAATTTGGGGCTGAAATTTGGCTCCATTTCCCTCTTTAAGAATTTTCTTTCCCTTTAAAAAATCTCCTCCAATTTCCCTTCTGCATGGGCCCAGTGACCATTTCCATAAAAGTGGAAAAAAAGACACTGAATAAGTAATTTTTAAACTAATGGGGAATTATTAGATCCGGTATTTGAAAGCTAAAACTAAACAGCTTACAATGTTACTTCAAAGCAAATTGTACTTCTGCATTATCAATTAGACTTTTTTTATCATTATTTTTAATTACCTTTCAAATTTAATGTGTTTGTGTGTGGAAACTCCATAACTTTTCAATAGCTTTATGGCATTTAACTAATTGATTTTGATAGGTTTTTCTACTTTAAACAATTTTTAGAGGACTTAATGGCTGACATTAGTGATTTCTTTCTCTTATCTAAGTGGGTTCCAACCCGAGCTGTGCCATGACAAAACCAACATTATGGGTTTGCGACCAGCATGGAAATAGACCAGCCTGCGCATCCGTGCAGTCTGATCAGGATTCATGCTGTTCGCTATCAGTTTCTCTACTTGTAAATTTAAAGGGTTTGTAAGCGAACAGCATGGATCCTGATCAGACTGCGCAGATGCGCAGGCTGGTCTGGATCCATGCTGGTCGCAAACCCTTTATGTTGGTTTTGTTGTGACGTGGCTCATTTTTTGATTTTCCAATAATTAAACAAAGAGACTTTAAAAAGATAGGAAAATTTAACAAGTTGGTCTATGATGGTCTATGCTGGTCTATGATGTTGACAATGTTGGTTTGCCTAAAAAGTAAAAAAAATAAATAAAATAAACCAAAATTTATTATAATGATAGTTAATAATTTTCTGGACAATTCCAGTTGAAAATTATTACATTAAGTTTGTTCAACCGTATTATGTCAAAATTGTCATCAAAACGATAAAACTATTTCCAATGTTAAAAAATATTTAAGCCTATTGTGAACCGGTTTACCATTCCAGATTGGTCAACTGATGAATATCATCATAATTTATATGTGACTTGTTCACTCATTTTATACAGACTGGTTTACTTCAAAGTGATTAAGTTACTTACTTTCTCTAGACTGGATCACTTACATGATACAAACTGGTCCTCTAATTTCAAACAGACTGGTTTACTGACTTGCTTCCTTTAGACTGGTTCACTTGATTAAGGCCGCTATTCCATTTATACGTGATCAGTGGTCCGCGTCCGTCATCCGCATCCGTTACCGATTCGCTAATCAAAGAATATGTTGAATCTATTCCTTTTATCCGTTTACCATCCGCTTCCGCGACGGCATCCGCGACGTTTCGCAGGTTGAGCGATTTTTAACGGACGCGGACAGTCACTGACATGTTTCATCCCTACAAAATGCCTCGAACGAAACTAAATACTTTATCGATTTCAAAAGAAAATACTAAAGAAGTCACCAAAATAGTCTGGGAGAACCTATAAGTTTATGATGCAGCAATGACAGATTAAAAAAAAAACAACATCTGGTCTTCGGTTGCTAAAGAGATGTTATTTGAAAACCTAACTGATATTCAATGTTTGTTACCTAATTCTTTGATGTTACAACTGTTTTTGGTATTAGAATGAAATTATATCATATTCTACAAATAAGTATCCTCTGTTCGCTATACTTCAATTAAAAATATAGAGAAAATAACGTACCTATGGAATAAAACCCACGGACATGCCCGGACACGGATCACTGACGCGGGTCACGGATCACGTACTAATGGAATAACGGCCTTATACAGAGTAGTTTACTGAGGTATTTGCTGTTGACAGAATGATACAAGCTTGTTCTTATACAAACTTACTTTTACCAATTAACTTAATTGGTTCTTTAGACTGAATAACTAACCTACAAGAGACTGGTTAACTAATTGCCAGAACTTCCTAAGGAACAGCTCATGTTTATTATTTCAAGAGCTAGGGAACTGAATTATCTTAAAAATTAAAAATTGAAAAAAAAATATAGATGTCAATTTAAAAAACGGGACATTTTCTCTTCCTTCGTGCAGGCTGTCAATTGTTATACATTTTGTAATAATTTAACAAATTGGGACAAATAATCGTCAAAGGAACAAATAGATTATATTG